AGGAGGAGAAAGCAAAGGAGAGAGGGACAGAGGATAGAGGGGCGAGAGAGGGCGGCAGGTTAGGTGTGGGGGTCGGCCCCAGGACCCAGCGCTTACCCTGGTCGCTACTTTGGGCAGCAGCCTCCTCCTCCTCCTGGCGCTTAGCCTGTTCATCCTGCGCCCGCTGCCGCTCCAGTTTTTTCATCATTTTGAGGTCCTTCCACTTCTTTTTCTCCTCCTTTTCTGGAGAAGAATTGGTGGGGGAAGAGGGCCCATAGTGAGATTTCCCTCACTGAAGCAGCCTGGGCTCAGCCTGCAGGGCATTAGGTGGGCTGGGGAAAGGGAGGGCTCAGCCCTTACTTACTCTGCTGCTTCCATTTTCGCCATTCAACCCTTTGGCCGTGTTCGCCCTGGAAGAGCAGGAGGGAAAATGAGAACCTAAACGGTCACACATCGGCGGGGAGCATCGTTGCAGGCCTCCAGCCATCTGAATTCCCCAAACCATAGCCTCGGCACAGTAACCAACCGGAAAGTTCAGGAATAAATTCACATAGGGCAAAAGAAGAAACTGAGGCAAGGGAGGAGCGGTCGAGCCACAGCGTTGCCCTAGGAATCAGAAGTCAAGAAAGGGCTCGGCAGCGTGAGCACCGCCGCCCTGCGGAGTGTAGCCCGGGCCAGCTAACCGCGCAAGCTCAGGCCCCGGGCGAGCGGCGAGGAGGGAGCCCTCAAGACCGACACCGGCGAGACGCCGCGCGCCCCGGCCTCGCCCGGAACCCCACCTGCTGCCACTTACTGGGCCACACGGACGCTTCCTAGAGTGCTCCGCCATGTTTCCGGAACACCACGCGCTTCCCAATCAGCCCCGCCTCTTCCGGCCACACCTCAGCGGAGCTGCCCAATCGAAGGCCCCGAGACGCGTGGACGCGCGGCCTGGGAGTCATTGGGAGGTGGAGCGCGGACACTCGTGGAGCAGTGGCGGGCCGCGGTGCTGGTGCCTCTCCAGGACAAAAGAGTTTCCAGCAGTATGGTCACTTAGGGCCCTCCCAGTTGGTAACAGGATGACATTCAGCTTCCATGTTGTATGTAAGGAGACCCTACTGGAAATTACTTTAGGAGTAATTTAATCCAGTTCTACAATTAATTCCTTTGCACTTTCTTTGTGTTTATAACACTCATTCATTTTCCTGGGACTCCAACCGAGGGCCTGACTCCTGCTAAATCAACCTGTGACCTACATTTTCAACCCTGCCCAGACTTTATTCTTTATGACTTTTAATTTTTTAGTTTGTGTGGGGGTCTTCAAACTGAAAAAAAAAATTGAGATAGGGTTTTACTATGTACCCTGGACTNAAGATTATAAAGTACAAGTTGGTAATAATTATATTTCTTTATTATTAAATTTATGAAGTATAATTATGTATGTTTTAACTGTTTAATAATTCCTCTGGTAGGACATGAAATTCAGCTATGATACTATTATTTCAGTTGATTACTATAATTTTCTATTCATTGTCTTTTTCCTTTTTCAGCATGATATGTGAATGATAGTACAATTTAGAGACAGGGAAATTTCTGCCCTAATTATATTTCTTAAATATACTGAAAGTCACAGTTTATTCTCAGTTACATTGATATATGATTTAATCTTACCCGGGGCAGTCATTAGCTAAAGACAAAAGTTAATTTAGACTTGACATGAAAGATTTCAAAAGAAAAATGAAAAGAAACCACATATGATGTATTGGAGATAATATGACTCAATGCTGAAAAATGGTCAAGTTGCTGTGGCAATTCAAGCAAATGCATTGGAATCCATGTTCTGCAATGTAGGATACTCATTCTACCACTTGATCACCAGAGTCTGGAATAGGACCAAGTATAGAGTATGGGCACAGGACATAGTTTGAAGTAAACAATTTGTTGACCAGTGCTATTGCAAAATTGGCTAACATTGTTTTTCAATAACAGAAGAACAACCACCACAGGTTTTGTTTTTGTTTGTTTGTTTGTTTGTTTTTCCGAGACAGGGTTTCTCCGTAGCTTTTTGGTTCCTGTCCTGAAACTAGCTCTTGTAGACCAGGCTGGCCTCGAACTCACAGAAATCCGACTGCCTCTGCCTCCCGAGTGCTGGGATTAAAGGCGTGCGCCACCACCGTCCGGCCACCACAGGGTTTTTAGCAGAAAAATGATACAGTTTTCAGGACTGTAAAAGCCTTCAAAAGATAAAGAAATCATCCCAAAATGAATACTGCAGCTAAAAGCACTCATTTGAGTTTTCTTTTTCTTTTTGGTTTTTCAAGACAGGGTTTCTCTGTGGTTTTGGAGCCTGTCCTGGAACAAGCTCTTGTAGACCAGGCTGGTCTCGAACTCACAGAGATCCGCCTGCCTCTGCCTCCCAAGTGCTGGGATTAAAGGCGTGCGCCACCACCGCCCGGCCTTATTTTTTTTTTTTAAATGAGTGTTTTGTCAGGATGTATGTCTGTGCACCACAAGCTTACCTGGTGTCTGAGGAGGCCAGAAGAGATCCCTGGATCCCGTGGGACTGAAGTTACAGGAGGTTGTGCATAACCTCGTATCTACTGGGAACTGAACCCAGGTCCTCTGGAAGGACCTCTTAACCGCTGAGCCATCTCTCCAGCTCCCAGATCACTTCTTTGAAGTGGGGAGCCGGGTAACTCAGAGGCTCTCTGTGTATCTCACACAGGCCATTTGACTCAAGATCCTCCTGCCTCAGCCTCCCTGGAGTGCTGAGATTAAAGACATGTACCACCACTGCCCCGCTAGATTTTTTTTTAAGGTTTATTTATTATGTATACAGTGTTCTGCCTGCACACCAGAAGAGGGCATCAGATTGCATTGTAGGTAGTTGTGAACCACCATGTGGTTGCTGGGAATTGAACTCAGGACCTCTGGAGTGCTCTTAACTACTGAACCATCTCTTCAGGCCTGGATTTTGGTTGTTGTTGTTGTTTTTAAAATATTTTTATGGTTTATTTAACTTTATTTTATGTGCATTGGTGTCAGATCCCCTGGAACTAGATCTTCAGACAGTTGTGAGCTGCCATGTGGGTGCTGGGAATTGAACTCAGGTCCTCTGGAAGAGCAGTCAGTGCTCTTAACCACCGAGCCATCTCTCCAGCTCCTGGATTTTTGTTTTTGAGACAGTCTCATGTATCAGAGTTGGCCTTGAACTCACAATGTAGCAGAGCCAGATCTTGAACTCCTGATGCTTCCTATCCCACCTCTGGAGTAAAATAATGGGGTATGCCATCCTGCCTGGCCTTGGTTGCAGTGTTTGACATGAAGGATTCTGAGTTTACCCTATGCAAGACTTTATCATCCTGCCATGTGGTGCAGCAGAGCTGCTTCAAGCCTGAGCCCTTGAGGTTGAATTTGGATCACAATCCTCCCTCTGCATCAGCAGCAGTATTGTGTGGCTTGAAAGGGAAAGAAAGGGAGAAACCGTGTGTTTTCTCTGACACCAAGCATGTTCCAATGACGACTCTTGGCTGGGACTCAGCTCAGAGTTAATAATGCTTGCCTAGCATGTGTGAGACCCTGGTGTGAGCCCCAGAATCATGTGTATGCAATGCTCACAGAGCCCAGAAGACAGCGCTGGGTCCCTCAGAGATGGAATTACAGGTGGTTGTGATCTGCTATATGTAGGTGCTGGAAACTGACCCTCATGTCCTCTGTTAGAGCAGCAAGTGCTCTTAGCCACTGAGATGTCTCTGGCCCATCAAACTCCTCCCCCCTTATATCTGATTCTAGAACTGCAGATAAAAGCCAATTAAATCTTTTAACTAAATGTGTCTTTTGACAGGTTTATTACCTATGCACATCTGATTGAAATCACTGGCTATGGCTGGGGATGTAGCTCAGTGGGATAGCGTGAGCAAAGCCATGAGTTGAAGTCCTTAGCACTGCCAACAAAATAAAACACAAAATCAAGCCAGGACTGATGGCTCAGGTTTATAATCCTAATACTCAAGAGGAAGAAACAGGAGGATTGCCATGAGTTTGAAGCTAACCTTGGCTACAGTGTGACACTGACCTCTCCTGGCAACTTCCAGGAAAAATATCAATGGCCTTGTGATTGAGCTGAAAATCCAGTCCCACCCCATTCCCTGAGGACAGAAGAGGGGAGAGGGTGACCTCGAAGCTCTTACGCTGACCCTAAGTCCAAAGGAGCGCTTATGATTAGCCAAAACCACTCCTATGTATCACAAAACTTCATGTTTTAGGAATTCTGTTTCAGGAGAAAACATTTTTTGAAGGTCTTACACCTTATGTCCCCATCATTTCTCTAGGTTCGAGAAAGGGTGTGAGTGAAACTCCTGAAGTTGCTCTACCAATGACCAGGCTCCTAGCATGGCCTTCTGGGGGGCTTTAAGACTACAGCGGCTTTAGTGAGACATCCAACTGGGGATCAAATCCCACTTCTATGCCAGTTATGGAATGTGCCGTAATCTCAGTACTATGGAAGCAGAGGCAGGAGGTTGGCAAGCTTGAAGCAGCTTGGTCTACAAATGGAGTTTCAGGACCGTCTAAAACCCCTGCCCAAAATCAAACCTCAAGTCCACTTTTGGCCAAGCACTCACTGGTCATGATGGCTACCCTACTCTGCCTCCTCAGCAGGCTGCTGGAGTTGCAGGGAAGCCTGGACCAGTGGGGCTGCTCTCAGATGCCCCTCCTACCTCTGTGCACACACCAGGCAGTTCTTGAATCCCTGTGAAGATGTCTCCAAGGCCCCATCCCCATCCATAAACACAAACACCTTAAGCCAGCCTTCACCGTGCACCCTCCGAGAGTGAGGAGCACAGCAGAGGCCTGGGTCTGGGAAGTCTGTGTTGCCATGTACAAGCCCTGCGACTTCAGATGAGTTCCTGGTTCCCAGTGTTCACACACAGACACACTCTCCTCTCTGTCCCTCTCTTCATAGGGAAGGTGGGGGGTCTGAGGTTCTCTGGGGTCCCTTCCAAATGGTTTAGCAGGCAGTCCAGAGGAAGAGAGAGGCTGCCTTGAGGGCTCTAATAACTTAACAACTTTAATAGGAACAAAAACAATCAAGCCAGAAGCAATATCTTGAGGTCACATGAGAAGAGGTGGGGAGCCCCTGGGCAGGGCTAAGTTAAAGCTGGGGCTCCAACCTGATACTCCATCCTTTACTGTTCCAGGCAAGGGGGCCAGAAATAACCACGACCCTAAAATAACCCACAGGGGAGTAGAATATAGCCCAATCCAAGACAGCAGTCCAGATACTGTGAGAAAAGATTGCTGAAACCCCCAAGTCAATGGTCTCTTTCCTGGAAGCATGTCCAGTCACAGAGCGGGGCCTCCAGGGCATCCCTGAGACAGGGCCCAGCTGAGGAACCTCAGGGCTGGAGCTCCTTTTTCCACTTCTGTAGCCTCTCGTCCATGGCCTGGAGTGTGGCCTCATCCTGCAAGACATACACTGAGCATTCTCTCGCCCTACCCGGTGGCTAGCCAGGCCCATCGAGGGTCTCCCCGCCTTTTCTCACCTTCACAAAACAGAAGCGGATGTAGTGGTCAAAGTCCTTCTGGTGAGGCTGACTGAAGAAGATGGACACAGGGATGGCCACCAGGCCCTGGGGAGGAGGAAGCCATGTCTGCATATAGTCTTGAGACCCAAGACCTCAGTTTGGGGGGGACAAGGAGTAAGGGTTCAGTGTGTCCCCTCCACCTGATGTAATGGCTAGGAGAGAGTAAAGAGGGCATTAAACTAGGTTCCTCCCAGGGTGCGGGGTGCGGGGAGAGAGAATAGAGGAGAGACTGTGCAGTGTGCCCAGGCAGAGCTGGGGAAGAACTAAGTTTGAGCCGCAGTGGTCTGAGCAGGGTGATAAGAGCAAACGGGCTGGATTCTCAGGTATAGGAGAGACAGCCAGGCTCAGAGAAGGCAAGAGCTCCTGGAACCAGCATGGCTGCCTTGTGCAGGTGAAAAAGAGGCTGTGCAGTGAGCCCTGGAGCAGGAGTCACGCGAAGGTCAGACACGTGCTGGCCCCACAAGAGCCCCGGCCTACCTTGTTTTTGATCATCCACTTGGCAAAGCGTCTGTCGTAGGGCTCATCCTCAGCACCAGGCAGGTTGGGCATCTTGCTCTCTGGGGCAACAGAAGAGGTCCTGCTGAGTCCCGGCCAACTTTGGTGTCTCCCCAGATCCTGGGTGACATGGCCAGTGCCACTCACTGAAGTCCGAGATGTCTGCAATGAGGAAGTAGCTGCCCTGGGGGATCAAGGGCTTGAGGCCCACTGACTGCAGGCTGCGGATCATGTGGTCTCTGTTTAGCTTCATGGCCTGCGGGAGCTGCAAGAAGTAACTGCTGGGTTGTCCAAAGTGTTGCTGCTCCCGTTCAAAGCACTGGGCTACTGCGGCCTGGACAGGGCAGATGAAAGGCCAGGTCAGCTGCCATCGGTCCCTGTCGCCTTCCCCACCATAGGTTTTCATACCCTTCTCACCTGGGCCTGGGTGGGACAGTGGAAGATAGAGTTCTGGTGCACAGTCCGCAGGTGCTTCAGGATCCGATCTGGACCCATGACCCAGCCCACCTGGACAGGACACAGTCAGTGAGGGCCTCGTCAGAGGGGCCTTTCTTAATCCTCCCGCTGCTGCCCCCTGCCTAGGGACCACACTTACCTTCCAGCCGGTGGCACTGAAGCTTTTGCCTGCGCTGCCGATGGTCAGGGTCCGTTCCCACATGCCAGGGAGGCTGGCTGCCCGAGGCCAAGAAGAGCAAATGCTGAAACGGGGAAGGTATGGGGGGGCCCCAGGGGCAAGCACAGCCTTTTAACTGAGGACTGGTATCCTCTAAGCTGCTGATGGAACCATTCCATTGCCTGCTCCTGAGAGCATTCCCCAGACCTCAGGGAGGGGACGTCCTTGCCCATGGTCACACCAGTGCACAGGTCCACAGCCCTGGGTCCTGATCACCAGGCCTAGGCTGCTCCCATTGGGCTCAAGCCCTGCTCAGGTGTCCAGGGGAAGCTGTGGCAGGCCCCGCTCACCGATGCTGACATGCTGGTGCCCATCATAGACCAGCCACTGGTAGACCTCGTCAGAGATACACAGGACATCATGCTGCTGGCACAGGTCAGCCACCAGCTCCAGCTCCTTCTTAGAGAACACCTGTGGGAGCCAAGGTCACAGGTGTACAACTGGGACCATCCCCAAGTGCAGAGCCTGCCTAGAGGTAGAGTGTGAGACCAGACCAGGTCCTGGGGCTTCTCTGGATCATCCCTTTGACCAGCTCGGCAATACTGGCCCTGTGGGATCGGTTATCTCTGGATCTCCCTGGACAGGGAGGTAAAGACACTGTTCCAAAGCCACCAGGAAGTGGTGAGGTGCTCAGCCCACACACCTAGGCCTTCACACCCCTGGGAGGGTTGGGTCCTCAGAGTTCAAGGCATACAGCCCTCCCACTTCACACAAGGAGGGAAACTCAGCTTGCGGAGGTCTCTGGATGGACCCCTGGTACCTTTCCCAGAGGGTTGTTGGGTGTGTTGAGGACCAGGGCCTTGGTACGAGGTGTGAACTTGCTAGCCAGTTCTGTAGGATCCAGTTGCCAGTCATTGCTGGATTCCAATTGTCCCTTAGCAGCAGGGCTCTGCAAGAGGAGGGGGAGAGGCAGCAGGAACTGCTTTCCTGACAGCAGCTCCTCCTGTCCCGATATATCTGCCTCCATCTCTCTCCTTTCTGCTCTGGGCTCTACCCCCACACCCTCTCATCTTTGAAGACTTCCTTCCCTTCTCCCACGTCCCAGGATCTAGCCCATCTCCTATCTTCATCCATAACCACCCAGCATTGCTTACCAGCCTTGACCAACCCATAACCACCAAGAATCCATTACCGGCCTTGGCTGGCCCCTAACCACTCAGAATCCCTTACCGGCTTCAGGGACACAAACACAGGCCGACCTCCAGCCATGAGAGTCATGGGTTCATAACAATCAAAGGCAGGCTCGATGATGATGACCTAGTTCAACGGTCAGATTAGCTGGGGTCAGCACTGTCCTGGGCTAGCGCTCAGCCATCCCCGATTAGGTTTCACCTCTCACCTCATCTCCTTCGTCCACCAGGGCCTGGAAGGCTGTGAACAAGGCCCCATAGGCACCCACTGTTACCAGCATGTTCTTGAGTGGGTCTAGCTCCTGTCCCAGCAGCTTGCCGAAGAAACTTGCCAGGATCTTTGTCAGCGGTGGGTAACCCTGCCAGGACAGCACCCAGGCACCTAGGATCAGCCTAGACTCCCAGCTCAGCTGCACCCAAGCCATCTAGAACCTTCTGGCAAAATCCACCTTTTGGGCTGAATGTCTTATCTCCTCCAACAGCCTCGGCTATGGAGTCCTACCCAGAGCTGGGATGTAGGGACAAGAGAACAACGGGGCAGCAGGAACCTCACACTTCCCTGTGTGACATAAGGTACATTTGTGCCTACCTGACCCCCCTCTTGCAGCCCTGGAGCCACAGATTATTTATTTGGGTGCATTACAAAAGAGAGTCCCCAAGAAACGAGCTGTCTCTTGCCCAAGGTATTAGAAAATGGTATGCAGGAATAGCCTTTTTCTTTTCTTTTCTTTTCTTTTTTTTTTTTTTTT